ACCTTCCACCTTCCTGGCGGTTGCCTGCACATATGTCTCGAGCTACGTACTATATCCCATCAAGTTATTTCCTAAAAGAAAACGATCGAATCCGTGTTTGCAGTTAGTAATAATAATAACAATCCTTGCATTTGATATAGCACCTTATCACATCGTTCAGATGTCTTAAAGGCTCTTCACAGGAATGGAATCCACACTGCATTCACGTGATAACAGAACCCGTGCTGTAAAGAAGAGTGTTATAACAGGGTTGTACTGTAGCTCAAGATTTAGTACCTTGGTTCGCTGCTAAGACCAAAATTGAGGTTAGCATTGCAGATTGGATTGCGGATTGCATTCCCGCTTCCCCACTCCCTCCCCACCTCCACCCAAAAAAAATCTACAGGTTCTTTTGCATTCTAGCAACTGTGACTGAAAGACTTATTTGAAACATCATAGCTTGCCCAAACTAAATAATGCTGAAGTTACCAGTCAGTTTTGTGAAGGAAAAACATACATCACAGCAGTGAGAATGCTTCAGGAACAGCAATGCACTCTCTTACTATCTTCTAGTCCAGTCATCCAGATAGTATTATTTTCTATTGAACGACCAAGGCTTTCATTCAAAACACAAAAGTAAATTTAAATTTACACTGCATCACACCACGACTCCGAATTTACTTGTCGTTTCACTCACTCACTCACACACACCGCACGTACACACAGACACCACACACACACACCACATACACATATACCACATGCGCACACACACCACACATACACGCCACACACACACACCACATACACATATACCACACGCTCACACACACCACACATACACACCGCACACATACACCACATACACATACACCACACACACAGAAATGCTTAAAATTCACCCACAAGACAGTCCTGGAGAACAGCCTCTCTCACACACCACTCAAGGGTCGAAAGTGAAATGAGTTCTGGCACTCTCTTTCCTGCTGCGTTCCTGAAGGACACGAGACAACAGATCAAAACTCACCTGAATTGACCATTAAAGGCAACTAACTGCGATTCTCAACCGACGCTCCACTATTGTGCTTTGGGAGCGAGCGAGGGAGGGGAAGGGAAGGGAAGGGAAGAGCCCTGGCATTATCGGAGCTGTTGTCCTTCAGATGAGGCATTTTTATTCAACGTCTGCTCGACGCTGTTGCTCATTTAGAAAACAGCTCGATGCTGTTAGGGAAGGGCATGAGGGTCGGGTGTCCCGGAAGGATGAGATCAGATGGCCCGAAAGCCGTCTTCTTGATCTGACCCTCTCTCTCTTTCTCTCTCTTTCTCTCTTTTTCTCTCTCTCTCTCTCTCTCTCTTGTGATCATATCTGAGCCGCGTTCAGTATCTGACCCGGGCCGTGGGCTTGATCACAGCCAAACCAAAAGAATTAAGTTCCATCGCCCGGGTTTTGAGCTGAACGCAGACTGAAGGCTCTGCTGTCTGCGGATCGCTCCTGGTTCCTTCAGCCACGAGGACACTGAAACAGCGCACTGTTGACTTTATTCGTTCGTCTACTGCCCTGTGTGGCAAAACCGACCCAGCGAGCGTACGTACAAGTTACTGTCACCTGGCTACCCGTGAGAGCGAAAGAATTTGGGTGTGAGCAAGGAGCTTTTTTTTCCCACCCAGATGCAGAGAGACACACACACACACACACACAGATGTTCGCAGTTGTACTTTTCGCAGTGCCGGACTTCACAGCAATCACCACAAAGATAATTAACACATCAAGAGACGTAAATCTGGAGACACAAGTGGCTCCTCTTATGCTCTGCACCCAGCAGTGGTCGAGGATTTCTGGCCCTGCGGTTACTTTCCCCGGAATTCCACCTGGTCTGAGCCTGCAAGAGTGGGTCGTGTATGGAGTGGCCATACTTATCGAATTATTTTTGTGGGGGGATTATTGCATGATGGCATTATAACAGATTCCCTTTACGCACACACACACTACACACATATATATGTATACAATCACACACCCACAAGTACGTGTCTCTTGAATGTGATATGATTACAGAGCCACATTACCCTTTCCACTGTGCGCACACTGTATTTTAAACATAAAGCAAGAGGCAATTTGAATCACACAATCCACTACTCCGAACTAGCGCGGTAATCCTAATCATCTCTGCGCAGATCAATTTGGATTTGAGACTCCATCCCCAACGCTGAGTGAAAAGTTTTGCCTCGAAACTGCTGTTAAATCCATAGTCCATTTTTAATCTAAAATACAAACTGGCAAAATACTCCTTCAGTCTTCTCAGTTGTCCGTACCCTTGGGATATTATTGATGAATAAAACAGGCTTTCTCCCGACTCGCACAGTATAAATGGCAAGCATCTAAAACAATAACAATCATCCTTGCATTTGATATAGTGTCTTAGTCCGTCTAAAGCATTCATAGGATTTTATTGTAAAGTGAAGTGACTGTGTACTTTAAAGCAAACATGGCAGCCAATTTGCATACTGCGATGTCTCACAAACAACCATGAAGTTAATGACCAATTTTATCTGAGGGATTGTTGGCCAGGACACCTGGAGAAACTCCCTTTTCTTTTCCGATAGTGCCACGGGATCCTTAACATCCACCTAAACAGACAGATGGGACCTCGGTTTAATGTTTCATCCAAAGGATGCCATCTCTGACAATGCAGCCCTGCACTGTAGTGGCAGCTTAGATAACCCGTACCATTGTCTGACAATATGTGGGCTGAACACTACAAGGGTTTCTGTGCTTACCAGTTACTGAGTGGCCTTAAAAGCCAAACATTTTTTGACTGTTGTAACAGCGGCGTATTAAACAGCAGTGATATTGATTTGTTATTGATAACGGTTTAATCTATCAGTGCAGAAAGCTTTCACATGTCATTCTAGTGGGCTACAGAGTCTTGCTCACCTTTGGAACAAGCACTGCGATTTGTTGACATGTTCATTTTGCAGGATAAGCTATTGCAAAGCAATAGGGTTAGTTACTCTACGGAGATTGACTTGAAATTGATCCATACGCACACACAAAAAAAAAGTCTCGTCATGCTTGGCACCGCTGGGTGAGAACTCAAATTGCAGAGTAGATTAGGTTGAATGTCTCTGTATCAGATGGACAAGCACCAAATCTGAACATACATTCAGAGACCATTAGGACACTGATCAGCACCTCATTGATTTCCATACAGGAATGACCGGTGACACAGTTTTGTGAAATGCAGACATACATTTTAACCCCATTTTTCCTCTTTTTTCGCACCTACGACCGGCTTAATTATATGTATTTCAGAATGCCAGTCTTGGATAGAGGGATACGTTGCAAATGTTGCACATTATATCATTAACTGCCCACATAGAGCAGAGTCTTTCCAATCTCTCCGGAACTCCAGCCTGCAGTCCATCCGACTCGCTCCCTCTCTCACCTCGTTCAAGGTCCACCTCAAGACCTACCTCTGCATCTTTCCCCTCTTTCCACCCACTACCCACCCACCCACCCTCCAGCTCAGGTGCCAAGTCAGGATGGCCGTTCTGATGCGAAAGGCAATGTATAAATGTAATTTTTTAGTGTGTTCTATTGGGACATCGGTCTATCCTTCAGCGAAGAGCATCTCTGCTCTTCTGCATGTATGGAATCTATCCATTTCCTCCAGGGCTTTGAGCGAAAACACCAAATTAATACTGAATTATGGATAGCTTTGTGATTTAGATTTATAATGCTGAGCACTGAATCAAGACTCTTTGCACTTAGAAGCCTGAAGGATATTAGCTCCTAATGTGATGTCATAAAATTTTCAAACCCCAGTAACTATCTAATGCCTCTGTATAAATTTTAACCGTGTAAAGTACTTAAATAATAACACCATATATCCCAAGTTTGGGGCCAGAATAAGATTATAGTTTCATAAATATTAAACAATTTGCACCATTTACTATTTTATTTTATTTCTGCAGAGCTTCACAATTTGGACATGGCCATTTAACCCTCGAGGGCAATTTCCACTCAGCATTATTTTATTTATGCAGTAATTTTAAGAACCCCTAAAATTTGGCAATTTCTTAATTACAGCCTCGATTTTGAAGCCGATTTTTATAATTATATGATTCCGTTTCATATAGCACATTTGAAGTCAGGAGGACATCCAAAAGCATATCGCAGGTTTTGCTGTAAAGTGTAGTGACTGTCCTTATTGTAGCTGAGCACGGCAGCCAAGTTGCGCAGATATTATTTCAGACCCAACTCAGGATAGGAATTTGATCACAAATAATCTCCATGTGGCAGGGTGATGCTGCCCATATACCTTCATCTAAAGAGGAATAAGGCAGCTTAGATGTCACTCCAAGCTTCACAATCTGGATTTGAAGCAACACATGCATTTCGATGTCCCTTTTCCTTCCTCTTCCAATGCTCCTCTCCCTCCGTCTCATTCCCTCTCTCTCAATGTCCCTCCCTCTCTCTCCCCCTCCTTCCCTCCCTCTCACACACTCACTTTCCCTTTCCCTCTCCTCAAAGGTCCCACGCTGAAACCCGGTGGCAACAAGAAATAATGGGGGTAAAAGTAATTAGACTGGACGTTTTGGCACTGTTACCAAGACAATAGAATCCAACTGGATCTGTATAATGGCTCATGGCTGAGCTGTATAAAGTTGAATTATTGTACCGCATTTAGTACCAGAATTATAGAGAATGTATTGATTTACAGCAACCCTACGCGCCCACACAATAAAATAACCTTGTGCTTTTTTGGGGAGTTTGAAGCATAGCAACTGAGCAGAAATGTTATGCGCTTTGCATACACTGAGCTGTATGGAAGTAACTGGAGGAACAGCATCACAATACTCATACGATAAATAGCTTCACAGGTACGAAGGGAACAGAGAGAGAGAGAGAGAAAGAGAGGAGAGAGAAAAAAAATCCCAACCCTCTCTCCTTTTGCGTACACGTTAATTGTTTTGAAGGTCAAACAGCGAGTTAGAGAATCGCTTGCTTTAAGCCTTACCGTTCTCTGCGTCGGACTTCCTCTCCTGTTCGGTGTCGGTCAGCGAAAGCATTGAGTTTGCCCGGCTCGACAGGCAGGAGCTGTGCTCGGATTTGATTACCCTCATCCACAGTCTCAGATTGTGCTCTGGGGAGCCAGCTCCTTCTGTCTCGGTGTCGATGTCAGACCCCATGATCATAGGGAACCCATGCTGTGGGGGAGCGCACACGTCTGTCTGGTACCCACTGCACAAGACCGACGGAGCCTCGCAGAATTCTAACTCTGAAAGAGACAAATAAGAGAGAGCGGGGGAGAGAAGGGAAGGGGTGGGAGCGAGAGAGAGAGAGAGAGAGAGAGAGAGAGAAAGAGGGTGTCAGAGATCAAAACTTTTCAAAACAAATGCTTCTCAAGAAGATGAATTTATAATAATAATAATCCTTACATTTGATATAGCGCTTTTCACGTCAGGAGGACGTCCCAAAGCGCTTCACAGAACACACTGTAAAGTGTATTGACTGTATATTTGTGGGCGAACGCGGCAGCCAATTGCGCACAGCAGTGTCCCACAAACAGTCATGGATTGAAAATGACCAATATATTATTGTTTTTGGTTTTGGAGGGATTATTATTAGGGCTCTGTGTGGAGTAAGGAAACTTGCCCGAGGTTTCGCCCTCTGCCTGGAATTGAGCTCGGGTCTCTCACTTGCAAAGCGAGTGCTCTAACCACTGAGCTACAGGACTCCACTTGGGAATGTAACCCAGTAATCGTATTTTACAAGCTGCTTTTCAATATCGCGGAATAAAATCAGCGCCGAAACAGATTCTCTGGGCGTGCGGCAACAGGTTTACAAAAACAATTGCATCGCTATTTGACAACTTGAAACACATACAGTTATTTCTCCTTGTGCCACATTGTGTTCCATTTACATCTGCTTATTCCTCTATTGCTTGTCCACATTGATTTGGGGCAGCCCGATCCCGACTGCAATCCCAGGGCTCTGGCCGACTGGCACTTGTTTCGGAGGAGTTAAACCTCACTGAAATTCAGTGCAATGCAACGCAATGTCAACTCGCAAAGCATTCAACATTTGGGGCTCGGAGGTATTTTCTAACTGCCCGGGGCGGGGGAGGGTGAAAGGAGGCAAAAGGATGCGATTGTGTGGGACAGGATTGGGGTTGGTTCTGACGTTTCCCACAGTGACCTTGTCCCCATGCCCAGGAACACACTTGAGCAAAGGCCATTTGGGTGAATGATGAGGGATTGTCTGTGATCTCCGCAAGAGAGGAGGAAGGGAGAGAAATCGACGTGAAATAACAAGAGTCGTTAAGTCAGTCTTCAACATGTCGAGAGATGAATGGCTGAAGAGAGAACCTTGGTCATCAGCTACCACCGATTTATCACAAGATCGATTTGGATGAAGAAGGCCCTTTGGCCCATCTGATCTCATCCACCCAGTCCAGAACACCCACTCAACTGTCCTCCCATCACAGCATCGAGCTGCTTTTTGAAATGAGTCCCGGGGTTCTGTCCTCAACCACCCTTCCTGGCAACCTGCTCCAGTTGTTAACTACTCTCAACTGTGCCAGCTGAATAGTAGAGATGATTATCATCATGGTTTTAGATCTCATCTGAAATGAGAAACGAGTTCCCATCATCTGCCTGTTCAGGTGCACGTTAAAGTTCCCATGGGCTGTTCAAAAATAGAAGAGAATTTCTCCCGGTGTCCGGACAAACAATCCCCAGGTAAAATGGTCACTCACCCTGAAATCAGCCAGCGGACTGGATGTGGCCCGTGGGCTGCTAGTTGGACCACCTTAGGTTTAAAGCCTGATGTCCTTGTGCATTGATTGGATGTATTCCCCTCGCAGTCAGCCAGCGTGCGAGATGGACGCACGACACGACTTCATGACAGCGGCGATGAAAGCGCTCAACGCGTGGGGTGAGTGTTTCAGTGGGATGGGGACTTCACGTAGAATGATACATATCTCTAAACGCTCAACAAATGGGCAAAGGGAGATTCAACCAAGTTGACCAAAGCCACGTGGTCAAAGATATATACTTTCTTAAACACAACACGGAGATTCATTTGCTGCACATTATTGAGAGAACTTGGCCTCCCACAAGCAAAAGTAAGTGCTTCTTTGTTCTCAGGATCCCATCATGTCTAGTCGTGTGCCAGTTTCAAAACCCTTCTCTTCGATCGTGCCTTCAGTTGCCCTCCCACCTCTCTCCCTTCCCGCACCCCTCTCCCATGCTCAGGTCCCGACCCCTGACACTCCAATGCTTTGGGATGTCCTCCCGATGTGAAAGGCACTCTATAAATGTAATTTTGTTGTTCTTGCATAATGCTACAGAGGAAAATGAATACCCCATTGTTAATTTGAATACATATTAGAGCCCAGTCACTCACATGGAGAGGTTGATCAGCTGAGAAGTGCTAAATCCCACACCAAATATGACTCATTGCATGATTTTTTTCTCTCTGTGTAAATGAGCTTAAACCCTGAGATAAAGGTACACTCATTACCGAACACACTTTGCAAGCTACGTAAAGTTGCAGTATGCTGCCCCCTGAGTCTCAGTCTTTGCATGGGTGAGCCATTCATTTGGGTTATGGAATGCAAACTGTGCTCGTGCCTCTCACACTCTCCACACAACCCCAGGGGGAATATATTTCAACTGGCTTGTAATCAGTTTCAGACTCGCTCTCATGAAATCTCTCACTCCTTGTAATACGCCGGGCGTGACAGCTGAGTGCTGTGCAATCACAATTTTTTTTAATACTAAGTGTTGATAGCATATGACACGAATCAAACCTCTATAACTCTCAATTTCTGCTGCTTTGAGAAAAATGAACTAGGCAGCTGACATGAGGTTCTTTCTGCTTGTACATTGGCGAGTGCCACGTGAGTGTTGCTTCTGACGCAGTGTGTAAGTTGTCAGTTTCCATTTCTTTTCTGTGGAACTACACCACCACCACCAACAACAACTTGCATTTATACAGCGCAGCCTTCCGGGAACGCTGAACAATGCCTTAGTTTGACGGTGAGCTGGGGAGTGCGTCCTAGTCCTTTTGTCCTAGAGATGAGCTTGGCTCTCTTTTTTGATTGAAAGAAAAGATTTTGGATGCCTTCACTCTGAAACAGGGATGGCCCAATCCTGAGCCGCGAGAAAGAGTAATCCAGGAAAACTTTACTGAGGACTCGCGGGAGAGAGAGAGAGAGAGAGAGAGAGAGAGGGTTGGGTGGGGGGAGAAACAATCGCAGGCAGTAATGGGTTTTCAGCTCTGAGGGGAACAGAGAAACAGCGTCTAAGGAATTAGAGCCACGCTGGACGGAAATTTTGCTTGCTCCTTCTTCGCTTAAGAAGAAAGCGAATGATGAATGGAGGGTAGCCGAGAAAATGGTGGCCTCATTGTGTCAAACTTATCTATTCAGCTCAGAATTTAGAAACTACACTCGCTGCAACGGACCACCAGAAGGGCGAATAAGGTGAGGTCACCGGACTCATTTAAGAAACAGCTTGACCTAATGAGGAGACAGTCGGGTCGGTATTCTGGAAGGAAGAGATCAAAAGGCCTTCCGCAAGTCAACCTGTCTTGCAAGCACATCCCTAGTGCCTTTCAGAAGGTCTTCTTGACATTACCGAAAGAGGTGGCTGAACAGCGACTCGGCTTGAGAAAAAAAACATAACACTGAGGTGGCTCTCCAGTCTTATCACAGGTTGCTGTGCTCAGGTATTTGGCTCTATTCCGTTGAGGGTGTATTTGTTTTTGCTGAGCAAAGTCAAGAGTGCTTACAAAGTATTATCTGACACACGTCACCCCCGAAAAGGTGCACCGTTTGACATTATCAAAGTCATTTAAAGTTTCCGGGCACCAGCCCTTTAATTGCAATCGAACACAGAGAGCCAAAAACCACGGATTTGATGTGCCGCGAGTTGACAATGTCCAATTTATTTACAGGAGGAGATGATGGTTTTACTCTCACCGAGGGAAAACTCCACTGTTTCGTTCACCGGGCCGGGTTGGGAAGAAAAGAAATAAATTGGGTTTTGCAACCGGTGTTCCTCTCCCACACGAAGACCATCTTCAAAGTTTAATTACCACAAAACTTTCATTTATATGGTGCCCCTCACACAGGGTAGTGTCCCAGAGAGGTTATTACAAGTTTTGGAGCAGAAAGTGCAGAAGATGTTCTCAAGTGTGAATGGTAATGATAGGGACAAATACACAGTCCAAACCAACATGTGAAACTTAGCCCAAATTATTCATTGCCAATCTGAGCTCCTGAACGTGGCAAGGTGGGATTCCCAACCAGCAAATAAGTCACTGACAGTCCTAAAAGAATATCTGCTGGTACCACCCCAAGACTTGACTTGACTGAGTCTTTCTAGAACAATAATTGAGCATTTTATAAAAATTCAACCACTCACTACGCGATTGATTGTGGTACGTCGCTGTGTGCAAATTGGCAGCCGCGTTTCGCCCACAAGATACACAGTCACATCGCTTCACAGTAAAATCCTGTGAAGAGCTTTGAGACGTCTCGACAACATGATGAGGCGCTGTATCAAACACAAGATGTTGCTGACATCTGGAAGCGTTGTCAGTCTTAGTCAAAACAGTGCACATTCTAAATATTCCCCAGGAAAATCTCTTCTGAGGCTCTTAACAGTCCGGTCAACATCGGCCAATACACACTGCACTGGCTGCCATATTGTAACTCGAATCTATGTGGCAATAAAAGTGGTTGCTCTCAGGAGAGATGGTTTGCTGGAGAAATTTCATTCCGTATGAGAAAACAATCAGAACACCATATTTTGTCCTGCTCCCAACAGAGCTCAGACATCGCCTCCCTGGTTATCTTTGCCTAAATGAACGGATTAGAAGACAGCGAAACAAATAGTTTGTTTTGCAAAGGCGTCGGGCTGATTTCTGGAGAAGGAGAATGCTGGACTGCAAGAGCCCCATTGCCTCGCAAATTCATTTAGGGGTTTGGACATTGGTATTTCAATACGATCGCCAATATACGACTGATGTGAAATTGGATACATTTGCAGCCGGCTTACCACTCAATCCATTCATTCATTTACTGAAATCTCCAGTTTATACAGATAGAGACGGGGGGGGGGGGAATAGTTATATAAATACAAAACTGCTGGAAAATCCCAAATGTGCCTTGTACCTTGGCTGAAATAAACCATTTAAGACACACTCAGGTTAGCTCGGGTGAATAATTGAACTGGGGCCAGATTTTTTTCTTTACTCACCTGAGACCTG